GCAGAAGGCTCGGGAGCGACGGGAAGCTCGTCGGGATCGTCGTCCATAATGACTCTCTTGCCTCTCACCGTCCTGATGGCTGCTGCTGCTAGGTCATCACGTCGGCGTGACTCGCGTGCTATAGGTAGACCGTTAGTCCCTGAAGTCTCCCCTTCCTGGCGTCGATCTAAGGGCACGTGTCGGGCCTGCCTAAGTCGTGTAACAACATCAGGCTCCTCCAAAATAATCGACGCCTCTCTCAAACTGTACGTCCGCGGCGGATCCACTGCGCTCGTCGTGGCACCGCCTGCGCCCTCACGTCGGTCGTCGCCGTCGCCACCACAGCCACCGCCGCCACCCCCTCTACCGCCAAACCCTGAAGTTACAACATCTCGGCGTCTCGCGCTCGTGGAAACCCCTCTCAAACCTGGCTGACGACCGACACTCGTCGTCGTCACCCGTCTCGTCTCACTCCATGGTCGATCAGTGCCACCGAACAACATGGTGTCCAGCAACTCCCGCGCACGCTGGGTAGTGTCTCTCCGTCTACGGACAACCGACCTCGGGGTGAGACATTCGCCCTCCCTCGGAGCTGCGGTCAAGGGTGACGAGGGGCCTGCGGCGCATCCAGATGGCGCTGCGACCGAACCTCCTGAAGGTAAGTCCCCTGCGGCCCCGCCAGATGCCGCTGCGACGGAACCTCCAAAAGGTAAGTCCCCTGCAGCCCCGCCAGATGGCGCTGCGATGGAACACCCAGAAGGTAAGCTGGGGCTGGCTGGCCCCCGAGATAAGTCCTACACGTGAGGAAGTTTCCCCTCCTCCGGAACTGACCTCAAAACGCGCTGGTCGATCTCCGTCAAATCCCTCCTGTCGTGGTCCTCCAACTCCTCAGCGGTCATAAAACCAAAAGGGAGGCTGCCCCGAGGTGTAGCCACATGCATGATCTCCGGCCTCCTCCGTGACGGCGCAAAAGTAGGGACCGGGGGTATGCACGCGCCCCTACCTACACTTCGCTCCTCGACAGGGCCACCACCATGTGCAGGACGCCTATAACCCTCCAAAAACGGTGCCTGATGTGGCACCACTGGCCCCACAGCAGTGCGAACCATCAAAGTCTGTGGCATCTCCTGTCTGTCCGCGTCACGCCTGTCCACCTGTGCAGGGTCTCCCCCGCCAGACGTGGACATCGGATCGGCCACGGACGGCACCCCCGACCCGCCAACACCAACGGCCCCCTCTACGGCCCCGTCCCCCCCTGGTGGTCGGCGCTATCCCCTCCGCCTGTGCCGATGGGCGAATATCATCAACGCCCACTGACTGCCCCGTTTGTATGTCCTCCAGACCCGAGGACATCTGCACGACACCCTCAACTGAACCCACGGGCAGAGGCACGCCCACGACCTCCTACAATGTCTCCTCGGGCCTCAGCTGGACGGCAGGAGGCTGCGCCGGCTCCGAAGGTGGCTCCTCTGCCAGAGGATCCGTGTGGGCAGCTGGCCCCACGTCAACGGACGCCGACATAAATGTCCCCAGCTGCCTCCGTCGGTCCTCCGCTGCAAGACGGGCGAGCTCCTGCGTCCTGGGGTCCCTCTGTGCCATGAGGCAAGCTCGACGACTATCAAGCCTATCCAGCCTCTCTGCAGATGTCTCTCCACGGGGTGTCCGGTCCTCATCCCCCTCTGCCCCCAACATCACCTCTGCGCGCATGGCAGGGGAGAAACTACTCGGATCCGCGAAGCTGATCTGTCCCAGTAAGTCCTGCATACCCACACTGATGTCCCCACGGGACTCGCTCTCTCCTCGGGCCAGACCCACGCTCTCTCCCGGGGGCATACCCATGTCACCAAACTCACTGAAACCGCCTCCGTCGCCCATCGGTATCCCCTCAACCGCCGCATCAACCTCGACACCGCCTCCACCTCCGGCCAACGCACCACCATCTCCACCAACCAACCCCTGTGTGTCTCCGTCGTCACCCTGCACCGGCACAAGACCGCCCTCTAATCTGTCCTCCAATCGCTGTCTCTGGCCCCTCACCAATCTCTGCAATTGATCTGCACCGGCTGGCTGTCGATGAAGCTGCTCCGTCGAAGAGGGAAGAGTGGTGGATGATGCCGTGCCAAAGCGACCCAGAGGACGATGGCCAATCCCCGACTCTGCCCCCCTCGAAGGTGCAGACCCAGGATCTCTCTCGCGCTCAGCGGACGTAGGCCTCGGACGCTCTAAAGGGCTCCCATGACGACCCCCAGACTCGTCCTCCAAATCAACTCGAACGAAAAGATCATCTCCGCCACTCCGTCTACGGACGTCCTCTGGGTCGCTCCACTCATCACGCTCATCCGCCATAGGAGTGGCGGTAGCGGGGCCCGCCAGCTCGTCCTTGTCCTCGTGACCCTCGGAATCACTGTCGTCTCGAGGGTACGGGTGCAATGTGGCGGCTCGAGTCCCAAAAACATCACCCACATCACCCGGAGGAGCTCTGGACCCACATGGGTCTCGCTGCCATGAACGTCTCTGATCCTCGACCTCCTCCCGCGTCCTGCTCTCGTCCGTCCCCTTCCACGAGGGGCGAATCCGGATACCTCGCTCCACGTCCAACAACGACTCATCTAGAGTCCACAGCAACGCGAACCCCCGGCGAGCCCGCTGATGAGAGAGAAGGCGAACGTTGGCTGAGATCTCAACCAACTTCGCGACCTTCTCGAACCCAAGCCGGTTACGCGTCTTCGTCTGTACACCCTCGTGGACGGCCCATTTCCGCAGGAGAGGAGCACGTTCACATGTACATCAAACGAAGAGCGATAACCTGCAACTGCGGGGCGCACTGCCCGTACCTCGACCACCAACACCCGGACTCGTACGTCTCCGCATCGCCCCTGCACCTCTGTGCATCTCTCTCTCCGTCTCTCCCCCCCCAAGCAATCGTCCCCCTCCGTGTGTGGAAGTCGC